CCTCCTCTCCCGCCGCCTCTTCTCAATCTCCCACCGCCTCCTCTCTCGCCGCCTCCTCTCTCGTTGCCGCCTCCTCATCCTCTTCGTTGCCACCTCTTCTTTGTTCCCACCACCTCTTCGCCAGCTCCTCTTCTTCACCACTGCCTTCTCCTCGAGCTGATCGCTACACTTCATCCTCGAGCCACCTCGGCTCTTCGCTGCCTCTTCCTCTTCATTGCCAACCCTCCTCTCCTCTTTTTAAGGTTAAATTTTTATCTTTTTTCACTGTGATTAACTGATTATGTTGGACATAGTAATATTTCTTAGTATTTGGTTACTATTTTAGCTATTTAGTATATATATGCATGGTTGATTAAGGATCTAAGACTATTATTTATTTATTTTACAATTTTATAGGAAATTAATACATATTTTTGTGAATTATTATAATTAAATAAATTTAAAAATAGCAAACGCCTAGGCGCTAAGCCCCGGCTCGAATGCATATTTCGCCTAGCACCTTCTGTAATATTGGTCCTTCATACAATTATTTTGCCTAATTCAACTTGAGCAAAAGTAATTTTAATTTTATAAAATGCATATTCTCCAATTTATTATTTCGTTATGGTCCTAGTAGTAACCGCAACTATATTGATGAGGAAAGGATCTTATAATAATAGAATTCTTTACTGGTCTTCGAAAGATATTTCTTAATTATTTCATACTTTCGTGTAAACCTCCTTTTGCCAAAATTTTCTTAAATCTTTATATTATGTTTTTTTATTGTATTAATATTCCAGGTTTTCTTAACTCTTTAAAATTGTAACCCGATTAACTTTTTGCCTCAAAAGGCTTGATTTATTATTGCATTTGACTAATGTGATTAAAAGAAATTATTTTTAGCTAATACTTTTTTATTTATAAATTTGGAAAAACAACAATATTCATGCTTTATGCTTTTTTTATTCGCATGTTCACATTTAATACTTAACATGTTTTGATATTTACATCTTGATCCTGGTAAATTATAATAGTCAGATTTAATTTTTGTATCATACGTAAATTAATGTGTTGACTAACTAAAGCTTTATACATGATGTTGTCATTACTTTCTAGAATTGATGCATTGCGATAAAAGTCATTATATTTATCTTTGAGACGATTCAAATTTAAATATATAAATTTGAAAGGCTTAATTGCACTTAGATACCCTATAGTTTCACCTCCATTCACTTATATACTCTCACTTGTTTCTGACATCATTTATATACCATAAAGTTTTTAAAACCTGCATTTATATACCCTCACTTGTTTTGATAGCACTTATATTCCCTAAAGTTTATAGAACTTGCACTTAACTACCCTGAAGTTTTTAACTTGGTACTTAAACATTTTACACTGTTTAAAGTTTGCACTCAAATACCTACAAGTTTACATAACTGAGGGCATTTAAGAGTCCGTTTTTAAAACTTTGAGGTATTAAAGTGCAAGTTTTAAAAACTTTAGAGTATATAAGTGTTGCGAAAACAAGTGAGAGCATATAAGTGCAAGTTTGTAAACTTTAGTTTAGGGTATATACATGTTTCCAGAAACAAGTGAGGATATATAGGTGCAAACTAGGGGAAACTACAAGGTATTTGAGTGCGATTAGGCTAATTTGAAACATCAATATCCAACTCTTTCTATGTTGAAATTTTTTCTCATTCTTCCATTTTGTATTTTCTTTTCTTTGGTTACTTGATGTTCCTAATTTATCTAAAAATGTCCTTATGCTTTTCACCACAAGCCCCTTAAACCCTAAAAAATACCATGTTGCTTCTCCATTTTACTTTCTCAAACCATTGTTAAAAAACTTAATAATATATTGCAGTACAAGACTAAATAAAGATTTACTCATAACATTGTGCTTATTACTTTCTAGAACAAATGATTAGACATGGATGAAAAATCATTATGTTTATCTTTTGAGATGATTCAAATATATAGCGTATTGTTGCATATAAATTTGAAGCATCAATAACTAATATCTCCTTATTATTTTCTCAATTTTCCATTTTGTAATTTCTTTCACCCTTTATTATTTAATATTTTTTTAATCTTAAAATGTCCTCGACACTTTTTACTGTAGGCACTTATAAACCTTAAGCGATATCATGTTTCTTCTCCATTATTTTGCTTTCCACAACAATGTTGAAAAGTTAGCATCATCTATTGTACAGTTTATGAAACTTCATCATCTAAAGGACTGTTCCAAACATGAAGTTCTCACATTTTCAAAACGTTTCAGTTACACACATCAAACGCCCATGTTGGACACAAAACTTCTATTTTGCATATCTATGTCTCCATGCCCATGTCAATGCAACTCAGATATTGAAACATTGATCATTAATTTTTGTAAATTTATGAAGTGTAACCACTGTTTAAAGAAAAGAATGGAGATACTTGTGAAAAGTTTTAATTTCTTTGAAAGAAAGTATAGTCTTATTTTAATTTTAGATTGTCATGATGCAATATTCAATTTAAAACCCTAACTTTACAAGGTGTGAACCTAAAATAAGTGCAGATCTTATTTCACATATCTTTTTTTTCTCTCCTCTCTAGTTCTTGTTACAAATTCCTAGTTCTAAATAGGAAACTCATATCTCAATTTGTTCATATTTTAGCATGAAAGCAGAAAATTCCACCATCACGACATCACACCCATATTAACCCAAATATCTCTTTTTCTTAAAGTACAAAAATTTCCTATGCATCATCTACAATAGAATTTAAGTAACTATCAATTTTAAATCCATTTGATTGATTCAA